CCGAAGGTAACTATAAAAACTTTATTTTATCGTTAACATTTGTCAAATTATCAATTGCAAATGTCAAAATTACATGACATGATGACAACCTTGCTTCCTTTATGTTGGCAGCAACTTATGGTCTCTTTCCCACATTACGCATTTTATCCAAAATATTTACCCCCTAAGTTTAATCTCGTGAAAATATGTAGCTTAAAACGTGACGTAAGTGTAGTGCTTTTAAATAAAGACAGAATTATTCAAAAATATGCTGTAATTGCTGACATCTTAGGCAACAAAGAAGTGTGTGTTTACGCTTTATTATAATAGTATAGATATGTAAGTACTACGAGTAACGTAAGCTATGCAGACTAAGTCACAAGCGTCAGCTAGTAATGTATATTTGAACTAACGAGGAAGATATAAAACATAGTTTTTACCTAACACGTATAAAGAGCTTAATTAATTTGTACTTAAAATTCGTTTTAAAGATTTTTTGTTGTTGTATTGTCCACAAACTGTTGTGTCCTACGGGATTTCAAGACATGCGCATTAGTACCTCAAACATAGATATTATCTGTGGACAAAGAGATCATTGAACTAGGCAAACTCATAGAAGAAATAACAAAGATCCGAACACGATAACGTAAATCTATTTACGTGATTAAGGTTAAAAAAAGTAATGAAATCCTTTCTTAGCGAGTTCACCGCCGCAAAAACATATTCACAAGATTAGAGGAACTCCAGATGCGTTACTAACCGTTTAGAAACAGGTACCCTCGCTTCTAGAAGGTTCCTTTTCTACCGCAGAAATGCACAGATTTTATGGAATAAAATCGCGTATATTAATTGTATACTGTATTTAGTAACAGATAAAGAAATAAAATACTTGATGAGTTTAAAATATATTTCACATTTGTACTATCTTATTTAAAAAAAAACAATTTATGTTTTTTACAATGGCAACCCTAGACGCGGCGTCAATCATAATTTGCGTGAACTGGTCTCCCTGGCCTTTAATCAGTTTAAAGCGTGATATGCTTCTTTTATTTTAATTCATATTTCTTTTCCATTGCCTAGCAACAGTATCAAGTAAAATTTTGATCAGATTAAAGTAAATAAAGAGACAAAAGTCCAAGACAATTCTGGAGTGCAGGCGAGAATAACCGTAGTTTGAAACTTACGTCAAATTACATAATAAATATCTGTTTTTCTTGCCTTGAGATAATTTTTAACATTAAGAGCGGTAGAACACTTTCGACTAAACTATCGCACAACTGTTTAGCCGCACTTTGATTCCTATGAACTTATATGGAGGTCCGCACACTACTTGTTTTTAGTTGTACAACTAAACAGTTGAATTTTCTGCGAAACAGCCGACAATCGCACAACAGTCGTTCGATAATTTAGTCAAAGGTGTGCGCCCGATAAAACGAGGAGTTTTATAGAAATATATTTGTGTTACGTGATTTTATTATAATGCAGATATTATATTGTTATATCTTGCACATGTTTGTTGCGTGAAACCGAGCGAACCACAATTACGATCAATTACGATACGGACGTTACGTCGCGACGCAATTATTCTTACTTTATCAAATAAACATTGCTCTATTCTGCTGATGGTCATTTTACTATGTATTCAAGGAACATCTCACAGCCATTTTCTTATAAAAATTCGGCAGAGTATGTACTCTTCCATACATCGCTTTAGCAGCTATATCTAAAATCAAAGTTACACATATTTCTTTCATCCTTACATATAATAAAAATGGAGTGTCTGTCTGCAACATTAAAAGAAAAATTCCAGATTTTGGTAAGATGATGTATTTGTGATTTTTTGTTGTCTGTCTGTCCGCAAGCCGCGTTTGTTTCGGGTAATTTCCGAGACGGTTTGGGTAATTATAACCGGACTTTCACTAGGGGTAGCTGACATAGACAGGCATATTATAAGCTACTTTTTTTTCTTAATATTGTCGACGTCGCGGGCAACATCCAGTATTAAATGTGTTCATCGTTAAAGGACATATCATTGAGGATGATCATTGTTATCGTGGTTTTATCCATGCATACTCCTCTACAAAGGTACAAAGGAAAAGAGAAGTCCTTTAGCGATTTTAATAAATAAAAGCGTTACGTAGTCATTCTAAAACATAACCTAATAGATAACAATACATATGCGTATCCCCAGACCGAGGCATTCCGGCTTTAACTATAGCAATAAGCAAACAACTCAATTTGCCCCAACTACTTTACTATTCACAAAAGCCCGCCAAATAATACCCACCCCCTAGCCTAGTAGTTTCAAAGCGTGCATATAATTCCCGAACATACCCCGTGCCAGGTTTAGTTGGATCCAGTTAGGGGTAAATTGCGAAAGCCTTCCAATATTGCAACTTAAGCGTCGGCTAAATGAAATATTGCAAAGTTGAACTCTTAATTCAGTTTTCATAGATTTGCTGAATGTTTGGTGTGTTAAGTTATTTGAACGGCTCTCATCTCTATACGAGAGTACAGTTAAGTAAATAAACTTTTTAACTATATTACTATTTTTTAGTATTCATCCCAAAATTATCTATCTGATTTAGGAAAAAAACACAGATCTATGTACGTGTTTGTTTTTTTTAAAAAAGCTTGTAAAGTTACAAATACATGTTATTCAAATTCAGGTGATTTAATTACTATTTTACAGGAGGAAAAGCCTTAACTCAACCTTAAAACTTTAATACGATGATTAAATATTGCAATTAATAATTAATCAATCAAAATATACAACAAACATCGGAAACTATAATGTAATTAGAACATTAATATCTGAGTTCGCTAGTAAAGTGGCAACACCGCAAATATAGTAACACTTACAATCCCAGATTAACTACAAAGGCTGTATCACACGGGAGCGGATCACACCCTGTCTCGCAACCCTCGTTAATAATAAACAACCCTGTGACACCATGCGCAATCGCACGCAATTTGCTACCTCTGAAATATTATTACGGGACACTCTGTCTACGCAAAACCAGTCATATCTAAGTCCTACAAATAATTACTAAAAGTAACAAAGTGCAATTCTAGTTTGTATACATATGTTTTATTTTATGCTTCGCAGATTATTTTATTTTTATAACAAAACCCGTTGTATCTTTGTAAATACTTCTACATGCGTAGCAAATTCGTAGAGTTTCGTAGATGTCGTAGCGTATCGACAATTACTGTCTACATCTTTCTTATTTTATCAAATTAGATAACAGAATATTTTTATGACTCAACTGTAGAAAAATTTAAACGTTTAACCTCGAGCTTTTAAAAAAAATCGAGATAGCAAAGCTTATATTCAAGCTTTAGACGCCATTGATAATGAAAGCAAGTTCTCGCTTTTAATTAGTTTTGAACGAAACTGGAAGCCGGTATAATTACTGGGTTTAGGTCTAGAGAGGACCCGACGGTAAAATATATTTAATTGACTTCCTTTTCAAGTCTTTACTAAATTCAATTCTTTGTTATACTTAATAATAGTTTAAAATCTTCAATAAGGTTTGTAAACTTCTTGTATATTGGGTTGTGGTTTTATTCTGTTCGCAACAGAAACTACGACTTGCTTTGCTTTATTTTAAAATAGTTAATTTTTATAATTAGCACACAGATCGAGTTGTGTAAAGTTTGTTTTTATGCTGTCTCCTACACTACTATTATAAAGAGAAAAGATTGTTTTTGTATGTACTGGAATAACTCAAAAACTGCTGGTTCAATTTCAAAAATTCCTTCACCATTAATAAGCTACGTTTTCAGTGAGTAACGTGTTTTTTTTTAATTTTACGTGGTCGAAGTCAGTAGCAACAGCTTGTTCAAATATATTTACTAGTAAATTTATAACTATAAGCATATTTCTATGTATGGTGTACGTCGGTGTAAGCGCCGGGGCAATTGTCCGCGGCGCCGTCTCCGATTGCATATCAATACAACTTGCCGTATTTATGCCTAATTGAGCCCATTGCTCGTGAGCTCGCGTCTTATTGGCCTTTATTCCATTACTGGCCGCCGATTGATGTCTTGTGCAGTGTGACGTTGATAAAACAATTGCTTCGACGCCGGCGTGCAATTTCCATAAATTGACAAATGAATAACGATATATTGGTTTGTTTCCTTTTATTTCTTCGCTATCTGTGATTGCGCTTACTGCTCAGTACATTATAACCTCTTAAAGGAAAAAATAAGGGGAAAGATATTTGTTATTTCTAAGTAATAAATTATAAAACTAGTTTGGAAATCTCTTCCGTTATAGGCTACATTATCACTGTATAAATTGGTCTATGTGTATTGCTAGATTTTTTAATTCCACGCGGACAAAGTGGCGCTTATTTCTTTACGTAAAAAAAAACTTATTATAACTGTCGTAGAAAATCGATGTAACCAAAAGATATACTTTAATTAACGCCAAAACTTTTAAATACTAATGGGTTATACGATTATTGCAAATTTAAATAAATAAAACAGTACCTAATTAGAAACATACCACAACATTTAAGTAAATTACCTAAAATAATTACACTCAATATTGGAACTTAACTTGCGCGTCGTTAGACGTAAACTGTACGAATTGGACAATTATAACACAACACATTATCCCCTTCTTATAAAACTATTAATACGATAACGATAAATTACGTTCATTTACAACTTTTTAAACAAATTAATTGTTTATCAGTTATATTTTCAATTTAATTGGAATACATTATAATTAATTGCTAATTAATTTAAGATAAAAAACGCATAATTACTACCTTCATTTATTTTGTTAATTTACAAAAATGATATATCAAATTCTGTTATTTTATTTCCAGTTATGAAACTTAGTATTTTTACGTCATCTCTACAAAGCACTTTAATTCAAAAAAATTTCTACACTTATATTATATAAGAATTAATTGTAACTTCACTAAACTTTTATACACATTTCAAAAGTATCGAAATAAGCCGTTTTAACAATTAATTAACACATTAAAAATCACAGTAATATTTACCTTATTTGCGTCTGAAAATATTTTGCCGTTTTATTGGCGGGAATATTTCCCGCCGAAATGCGTGTCAAAGATGGCGCGGTCACCGCGCGGACATCGTCACTCGCGTGTTGACTCCCGGGCCGCGGAGCGACGACTGCTCTCTCGCTCGGCAGACGGACGGCGAGTGAAACTATGAAACCGCCCTCACCAAACAAAACCCCACCCGCGCAACGTTAACGTTGGCCCAACAACCAACCCAACACGATACGCCAATAACCAACGTCTCTAGTACCGATTGACAAATAAAAAATAGTTTTAACATCTATGCTATTTCTTAAGAAAATTACTCATTTAAATGTGTAAAAACTAAATATTAATTAATTTCAAGAAAGCTAATTTTTTTTTTCAGAAATTTTAGGTTAAGTTTAAGGGATCCTATAGTTTACAATCAACACAGTTTAAATATCGAATGTTACTTAATTTTTGTCTTGGTCAAAGAGCCAAAAAATAAACATAACATAAAGAGCATTTTAGCACGCGCCTTCCCCTTCCCAAAGCCTTGATTTAATATCAAACGCGGGCACTGATTCAGTTATGCCGAACGCAACTGCGTCTCTATCTCACTTCCACCTACACAAACTATATACTGTTGTCTCCCTTCAAAGTTTCAGCGTGCGTTCGAAACGCCGACGACTGAAAGAGATGGAATCGCGGTCGCGGACACTTCTTTCCTTCAACTCGATTTGCATGCGGGGGTCGCTTCGCAAACTTTATGTCCTCGATTCGTAAATTATTTATACGTTTGGAAATATTTTAACGGCACGCTCGGTAGAGAAAGATTGCAGAGTGACGGGATGATAGGAATTAAGTGGCCAGCCGCTCGGATTACCGAATGGGTGATATAATTAAATTTTATTTCTCTGATCATTTAATAAAATAATCTATGAAAACAGAAAATATTGAGGTTGTAATTTAAAAAATGTAGATAATGAAACTCTTTTACACTTCTAGTATACGCTTAGTGTAATCTTATATTAATGTTAGTAAAAGCGCATAGAAACACAAATATCTTATTTAGATAAAATTCAAGACGAGTTATAATTTGAAACTACTCAAGAAAAACCTCTAAATTGAAGACATTTTACTAAAAATTAGTGCATCTCAGTGGATCAAAAGTAAAGTTTGTGTTTTTCTAGACTATAGGTACTCTGCATCTATGCCAAATTTTATCAAAATGCATCAAGCATTTTAGGCTACAAACTCTTACAAACATCCATCCATCTAAACATTCGCATTTATAACATTAGTAAGACGTAAGATTAGCTTCTAAGGAAAAACAACAAATAACTCATCAAAAATAACCTACAAATCCCACCGATTTACTATTTCTTAATTATTAACAATGTTAGTCGAAGTAAATTCACAAAATAATCGAATCTTCATTAGCAAAGTTCTCACACCTCTTGGCTCAACTCCCTCAGCAGTCGACCTATCCAATTAGCTATCATCGCATTATACACCACACAATCAACTAACTTCCAACCGTGACCTCTTTACTAAACTCTTACGCGATATACTTTCAAATACAGGGGAAATTCGATAGTCTTTACGAAGATTTGAGCGTAGTGTTTCTTTAATAGTAGACTCTAGCATTAGTCAGTACAGCAGTACGTTTATCTATACTAAAAAGAAAAGATTTGTGTTCTGTCTGTATTGAAATAACTCAAAAGCTACTGGGCCGATTTCAAAATACACTATTAGAAAGCTACATTATCGGTTAGTAACATAGGCCATTTCTTAATTTCAAGCGGGCGGCAATTTTTAGTACTACATATTGCGTGCGTTTGCGTAATTTTTAGGTTCTTTCAGCTCTGATAAACTGCAGCCTACACTCTTATCTAGATCGTATTATTTATTTATTACAATATATAAAAGAAGTGGTCAGTGGTTTGAACACTTGACTTGTAATCTACAGGTCTTGGGTTCGAATCCCGCCATGTACCAATGTGATTTTCGATTATTCGAATTTTCATATGTACATAATTTACCCGACGTTCTTACGGTGAAGGAAAACATCGTGATGCAACCTGCACATATCGGCGAAGAAATTCAAAGATATGTGTGAAGTCAACCAACCCGCACTTGGCCAGCGTGGTTGACTATGGCCTAGTCACCCCTTATTAAGGTAGGTTCTGAGCCCCTCTGTGGGGACGTATAGCGAGCTGGTGATGATGATGATGATGAAAAAAGTACTATCTCTAATAATTTATAAATAATTGCTTAAATTTTTAATTCATAAGCAGCCACTAGGTAGGGAAGAAGTTAAGTTTCAATATTTCAACTATCTTTTAACAGATACATAACAATATTTGTACGAAAGATAAAAACAAAACAAGAAAATCCTCGAAATTCAGCGAAGCAAAAGAAATCGTTATTATTAACAAAATATACACAGACAATCCAAAATAAACTCCTTAATACTTGATAAGCAATCGCTTCAACGTCTGATTCTTTAATCAGAATACAGATTCAAAATATATTTTCTTCAAACTGCCAGCATTATGCCACTCCAGAAGTTTTGCATTGAATCATTTTGACACTTATTTCTTAGGGAATAGAGATAATAGTTTGTGAATTGAGTTGTTTGCGGCGGTTAACAAATCTTGGAAGAGGTGTAAGTGACAATAAAAGGAGAGCTTAGCTCTCGGCGCCGTCTTCAAGTGGAACAGTGGTGTGCTGGCGTGGGGCGGCGGGGGAGGACAGTGAAGGAGGAGCCGGATACGACCGTCTCGCTCCGGCGGGCCGCTAGTCGCGCTCATCCGTTTTATTTCTTGTTTGTCCGCCGCGCGCCTTCCCCATTTGCTACATAATTTATTTTAAGCGGGAACATTTAAAAAATTGGTCGAAACGCGTACGGGATGAGCGGGCGACGGGCGACGAGGCTCCGCCGGGGAACGATGATAATAATATGGTAAAATGATTTCATTTGAATTGCTTTTCGGGTAATCGTCGGGAAGTTAATGGAGCGCGGGGAGTCCCCGGCCCACTGTCCGCGCCACATTCATTTACGCGCTGAATTTATTTTCGCGCGCTCTTTTATCGCCACTCGAGTTTCACAGTCATTTAAGCCTCTCAATACATATTCTATGACGTTTGTGGTCTCTGGTTGTACAGCGTCGCCTATGTTTGCTGTTTTAATAATATGTTTTTTCACTTGTATTCACAACATAAGTCCTTTTCCCATTTTAATAATTGAAATAAACCGTTACAGATGACGTAGACATTTTTTTAAATAATACTAGGTACTACTACTTACTACTACAAGTCTTATTCAAATACCATTTGATATCCAAATAAGCTATTGAATATTATTTTTAATTAATTTCATTTTAATATTCCTCTAACATAACGAATATTAATAGAATATCTGAAGATTAAATGCGCTAAAATTATCGTAACGGCTCTCTGAAAATTTATTAATTGTTAGGCGGTTAATCTATCGCTAAATCCCTTCTGTAACGACGTAAGACAAGCACTTACCTTTAATTGTTAATTGCTATTGGCTGGTGATATTATCTTGAATAAGCAATGAAATTCCCAAGATTCATTTTAATTTCAAAGCAAATAATCTATCAAACAGATTTCCAGTGAAATTTATTTTTTGATTAAAATGTTAAATACATACGTATTGAAACAAAACAATTAAGTACTTTAGAAATCCATAATAACAGTAATGAAATTATAATGTTGTCACTTCAAATCATTTATTAAAAGACATTCAATTGATAAAAGAAAAAAACAATTTGTCTATGACAAGGACATAGCGCTCACGGACACAATGACTTGCGAAAACGCTTAATCGTTCCGTAATAACTACATCAATGGATCGGTAATTGTATATCTGTTGTGCGAGTGGAGAGGAGGTCTACCCTCTAATGCCGAAGGGTTGCCTCCCCGCGAGTGATTTATTGAAGAAAGCTTTTAAACCCTTGCGGTCTCCGGCCATTGTTGGAGATTTGTGTCTTGTATTATGCGTTAGGTCATTACTGGTTATGCCCGGATTTGCGCTATTAATTCAATGTTCTGAAGTCATTTTTCTTTTGTATGTTTTTTTGATATTGTTTTCTGAATCATAATTTCACAACATTTTTAAAACATAAACTACTTCATTAAGATTATGTTTTTTTGGTTATGTTTTGAATGAATGTTTTAATATAAAATTGAACGTTTGGATACAAAAGTTATCTGTCTAAAACCTCAATCAAACCTCAGACATTTTCCTCTTCAACGCAACCTAGTTATAACTTTCTTATCTTATGTGGCGTAGCTGGACAAGTAATTGAAATTCGAAACCCATCCCAGGTTCCAGAAGAACCTTTTATCTTGTTATGTGTTATTAGTTTATAGTCTAATTGAATATTATTATTTCCGCTCGTTTACAAAAAAACAAAACATTGTTTTTTATACTCTAAATATATTGTTTGTTTATATCCATTTACGTAACGAAAATCTACAATGTTTAAAACTTTCGAAGACCGGTTGCAAACTCTAGGCAAAGTATTAAACGTAAACGAAATAAATAAATATTAAATACCTATTAACATGATACAACATGCATGTATCGGCGAAGAAATTTAAGGATATGTGTGAAGTTAACCAACCAGCAGTAGGCTTTTTTTTATAATGTAAGGTTTGCAAACGAGCAAGCTGCCCATAAACATCCGCAATTGCAGATGCCTTTCCTATCCTTAATTGACGGAGGATGAGACGCACATAAAGAGAACATTTTCCCTTCCGTCAAATCCACTTTTACTTCCCATACTTTCCTCTTAGAAAGGATGGAAGGGGAAAGGCTAGCGTGGTTGACTAAGGCCTAGTCTTCTTAGGGTAGCCTCCAAACCCCTAAATGGCCCCGTATAAAGAACTAGTAGTGAATATGAACATGTACATTATGGTGTGGTGTATTTAAAAAAGGTATATATGAATAAGAAGATATAGGGGAAAATGTTAGTACTTAAAGTACAATACAGTACAGTAGTAATACAAATTTTTACTATTATATTTTGGTGAAAACCTGAATTAAAACTCAACTAGTTGATTACCCTCTAATTTAATTCTAATCTTGGACAGTTGGGATTTTATAACTAATCACATTAACCTGTAGGGAGAAAATAAACTTTATTTTTTTTTCTTTTCATTTCAGCAACGTTGCTAAAAAAGTTTAAAGCGATACATACGCAGCAGCATACAAAATTATTTTCACGGATTCCTTAACAAAAAAATCAACGATTTTGGTTTCTTTGCAAAACTTTTTCTTTAATATTAGAAGCATTTACACACCGAATATTAAAAAAGTGTACTCTGTCGCCATCTATTGGCGGACATCCGACATTACTTCACTTTTTTTTGCATGTTACAAGATCTAAAACTCCGCAAATGAATTTAATAAGCCAATCATTCTATTATTGCTTGTATAATGCGAAATATATTTTTCAGCATATTGAAAGATTAAATTTTTAAAAACACAATTAAAGGTTATCCGTTTTAATTTAAGATAAAAATAAAACGTGTTTAATTAGTGATGAATAAACTGGGCGACAACTGCGTTCATGTTATACGTGATTTACATAACATTGATATTCGCTTAGATTTAGTAAAAAAAAAAAAACAGTTTCAAAATTGTTTATTTTAAAACGTAACTTTAATATGTTGTCTATGGTTTGAAAATAAATTCCAACGTCATGCTTTCAAGGTTCGCGTCAAATTGTTTGTTAGTGCTGCCATCTGTTATATCACATTTTGGAAGCTTTCATGTCGATAAAACAGACCGTTTCCTTTTTTGATTTATTCAAATTAAATTATTTTTAGTTTTTGTGTCCCGTGAAAAATATTTTCTAATGAAAATTATAGTATTTTTTAATTTAATATGATACTCACGTTTAAATTACCCTTTTATTCATTGTAATTCATAATTCCCGCCTTCAAACAACAACCATTTTGTCAAATTGAGAACCCCGCTACAGGAAGTGAGTGATGAAGGTGCTACGCAGGCGCAAATTGACCTTTCGGTTGAAGAACCCGTCGGTCACATGTGAGTGTCGATAAATATCTTTGTTTTAACGCGAATACATTTTAAATAGTATAAAATATAGTTTTTGTAAGTATTTCTTGTGGTGAATATATTTTTGTGAAAGCGGGATTCCAAATAAGTGTGGATTTTGTGTAATTTTCGAAAAAGTTATGTCGCGGCGCCGGCACGTTTGTCAAACTGCTATTTTTTTCTTGCGTTATCTTTTTCATTGAAAATTGAGTTGATGGTCATATCTTTCTTTTTCATATGTAACGTGGCGCGTCTAATTTCGTATGATTATTTATAAAATGTGGGTAACTAAAGTGCGCTTTAGCCATCAGGAAGAATTGGCTTAGTTATATGTATGGAACCACATGTTCGGATACCACACGCCTCTCTCGCAATCTACACTACACCACATTCAGGCTTGGATTTCTTTTAAAATCCTCTTTTAACTGACTAAAACTTTAATCTTTATAAATTTATATTTTTGACAATCTTGTACAAAGACTCCTGGTAAAAAGCTAGGTGGGGTTAGGTCGTACAGATTATTTTACTAAAATCCTGTTCATTAAGTTAAATAATAGTTTATTTCATTAATTTTATGACAATTAATATGTTAATTCTATTATTTTGTTCATTAAGTATTTAAATATCGTAAATAATTAATTCCATCTGTGAATTGAAATGACCTAAAATGATCGAATTCGTCACGTCACAATTGGAAAAAAAGATTCTATTTTATTATATATCTGTATGTGCTGATGTCATAAATTTACTATTTATCCAAATGTGTCTGCAAATATAATTTTATTTTCATAAGACCAAGGAAATGTTTACTTCTTTTTAGTATATCTATCTGGAATAATCTTTAGCAGGTTTTCACTTTTTTGTCTGGTGTGATACTGCAAATAATTCTTTAAAAGTCATTTCTATTGCTATTTCAAATAATTACAACCTTGCCAAGTAACAATTTTTATTAAGCTACAAAGGAAAACTCATGTGTCTAATAATTATTTTCATTCCATATATTGTATAGATGAATAAGGTTTTTTGGCGTTGAAATATGAATGTAATCTTAAAAAGTCTAGTTTGTAGAAATCTGTAATTTTATTTTAAAATGTAAAATTTAAAAATAATACAAGACATAGCCTATCTTACAGGTAAAACACCTTTGTAATGGTAACAGAATTTTTGAAATCGATCTGGTAGTTTTTTAGTTATTCCAATACATACAAAAATACAAAACTACAAATCTTTCTTCCTTATTATATTAGGATAGATTTGACGATTTGTTTAAAAATTGTTAAGCAAATTGTAACTTGACTCTTTCCATGCCAAGTTTGATTTTAACCACTAGTAAGCTAATCAAATGAGATAATACACTAAATGTGATGTTTTAAAGGTTATAAAATTTCATATATTTATAATTATTTTTGAAAATATCATATTTTGAAGTACACATGTTAAAGGCTTTTGTTCAAGTTCAACGACACAGGTCATTGACATGCACTAATTTTTCTTTCACACTGACTCATTGGATACAGTTATCTATCAAGGTTGCTTTGGTTAGAGGGTCTGTGAGATATTTAAATTTGGCCTTTACAATGTCAATGCTTATTTAAATACCTTTGTTATTCAGATTATCAATGTCAGTATGAACAGATCCCGGATGATAAGAGTAATTTTAGTAACACATTTTACTAGATAGGTAAAATACATGCAACATTTGTGTTTTTCAATTCCGCTTATATAATCTTGGAATTATACATAGATATTTGGTAATTCCTTGTTTTGTGGGTGCTAAATATTTTATGAATACATCATCATCAACTTGCCCTTATCCCTTATAGAGGGTCGGCACAGTATGTGCCTCTCTTCCATACATCTCTCAGCCGTCATATATGAATCCACTCCCTTCTTAAGCATTTTATGAATACAAAGGAATCTTATTAACAGTATAGTTAATTTAATATTTAGGATATTTATTATCTAGCGTCTAATATACAATGGTAGGTTTATTTGATAAAATCTTGTTTGCGAGCCCATAGAGTCGCGATTGTAGTTATCATACTGCTGTCGTGCTGAGGGTACTCGGAAATAAAACACCAAATCCGACTATGCGTCTCATTATACTTGAGTGTTCTGGGATCACCGTTCAGGAGTACATTAAGACTTACTAAGCGTTCCACCAAATCTACTTTCCATTCACATCACTTCATCTAACTCAAAAATGCAGACATTTATTTTGTAGGTTATGAATGTTATTATCTATGACTTGTAATGAAAAACAATTATTTCTGCTTTTACAGATCATTTCACCAGTAGTTAAAGCTACATAACACAGCATAATGGGTGATATTGAAGACACACACTTTGAGACCGGAGACTCCGGAGCCTCCGCTACTTTTCCTATGCAGTGCTCTGCCCTGCGCAAGAACGGCTTCGTCATGCTGAAGGGGCGCCCCTGCAAAATTGTTGAGATGTCAACATCCAAGACTGGAAAGCATGGCCACGCTAAGGTTCACCTGGTCGGAATTGATATTTTCAATGGGAAGAAGTGAGTTTATTAAATTATTACTTTTGTATGATTTAACTTAGTGGTATTTATAAAGAAAACTGTCAGTTTTAAACACTGTCGATGCCATCCCTTTATTGTATTAAATGTGAGATTTACGAGCCCATAGAGTCGCGAGTGCAGTTAAATATTGCACCTGTGCTGAGGGTACTCGAAAATTATACTCCAGTTCCGACTATGCGTCTCATAGCACTGTTGCTCATGGGATCACCGTCCAGGAATACAAAACAAATTAAAAACGTATTATTTTGTCAATATTTGTATGTAAACTAAGAAAACAGTAAACCTAATATCATTATAATAGTAATTGACATGATTGGAATATAGTATTGATATTCTAAAGCCCTCTACATCAGTTGAACTGTACAGTTGTGCCAACACACAGTTTTATGTTTATAATATATTTCTGTGTTGTAACTGAACATTGGTAACTGTCATAAGTTATCTGTAGTGCATTTAAGAGAGTAACAAGTACACTACAACAGTAATTTACAAAAAATATGTTGCTGAGTAATTTTGTTTTTACACTTAGACTTCCTGCAGCTAATCTTATCTCTAGAATTATCAAATTTATAATTCCTCTAAACTGAAAGGTGTGTTATATCTTAAGAATGTTTGCTTTTAATTATTTGAAAAGATTAAGTTTATCTGAGCTTAAGTTATTTATTTTATCGTTAAATTAATTACAATTTTTAAACATTAATACTAGAGCATAATCTTATTTTCAAATAAGTTGGACCATAAAGTGAGATTTATGAAATATAATATCTCTTAATTTACAAAATAGAACAATGCAATACTGGGTAAGCACTGAACTTGTCTTAAGTTCTTGTTTCAAACCAAAGTTAAATTAAATCCAATTTTTTTGCAGAATAAATTTTAACCAACCCTTTTTCTTGATAGATACGAAGATATCTGCCCTTCCACCCACAACATGGACGTGCCGCACGTGAAGCGTGAAGATTACCAGCTGACGGACATCTCTGATGACGGCTACCTCACCCTGATGGCGGATAACGGCGACCTCCGCGAGGACCTTAAGATCCCCGACGGCGACCTCGGCACCCAGCTTCGCTCAGACTTCGACAGCGGCAAGGAACTGCTGGTATGTCTGCCGACCACCTTTAACTTCCATAGGGCCGGCATCACGAGTGTTCGTACTCCAAATAACTCTATCAACCATCATCTTAGTCATCACTCCTTGAGCATGTCACCTTCCACGCAATCCACCCATCTCTTCCTATGTCTACCTCTATCACTGTACTTCCACAATCATAACTAACATTCTTGTTACATATGATTCATCCCTCTTCATAACATGTCCATACAATACTAACCTTTTACTCCATACCATCTCTACCATTGGGGCTATTCTCAAATTTCCTCTAATTGAAATTATATAAACCTTTGTACCACAGGACAAAAAAATGTGTAAAGTGAAATTTTGATTCACAAAAGCAAATTAATATAATTATAAAGTTTTATCTCTCTACAATATAATCAACTCTCTGATTTACTAAGGCTCTTAAACTAAAGCTTTCCAAAATCAACAGATAAATAACATAAAGCCCTTGAGATATACTTTCTAATTAATTTGACCACAGTCCATACAGTTTAAAATGTCAACGAGATCTGCAGTATTCAGTAGTCATATTTGATGAGTTACTATGACGAAATAAGCTATCGCTATCGATTCTTGGGATATCGATTCTTACACATTAAAAATGCATGGAATAAACTCACCTTGCTTTAGTCACTAACAGCCGAATAGTGAAACGACTTTAATAAAAAGCTGAAACTATAAATTGCATTAATACTTTGATGTTTGTTAGATTGTAAGCGGTGCTTACGAAGCGAAGATTCTCTGAATCCGGTCGAAACTCTGTTGGAACTATTTAAGCTTTCATTTGGGTCTTAATTCAATTAATTGTATTGGGAAGATTCTTAAATTTAGGCAAATTTACTAATAAAAATATCGCTTTTAAAATATCGGAAACATTAATAAATTTTCTGCTGCTGTAAACACTTTCATGTGACAAGTGAAAGTTAATGAATTTCCTTGTGTAAATTATATTTAATCGATTCTATTACATAATCAATACAGAAATATTACTAAAACACAAATACAAAACTACATTACTTGTAGAAGCATAGCTTATTTCAATGGGATAATTCATGAGGCATTGTCGCGTTTCACGTAATGACTATCGAGTATAGAGTCTCTAACAGGTTTTCATAGCTTGCTGGTGCTAAATTTACTCGGAAATTATATTTCTAACTACAACCTGAGCTAGTGATTATCGTTAGCTATATGGATAATATAGTTTTGAGAACAAATTCTCAATTAAATTCAAATTTTCTGTTCATAAATGTGAAAGTTTGGATGGATGAATGTTTATTACTGTTACAACATGTTTCTTAAAACTAATATTAGTAACATTGGTTCAGAATTCAGATAAACATAGGCTACTTATTATTTTTTTAATTTCGCGAAAATTGCGGGCAAAATGGTTACAAGATTTACCATTTTATGTCAACTTTTAGACATAATTTTCAAATCTCTCATTCACACATTTCCTTCATATTTTATAATGTTTTGTTATTGTTAATGTTTTTGTATGGTACTTATTTCGTATTTGTCTTGGTTCCAGTGCACCGTGCTCAAGTCTTGCGGCGAGGAGTGCGTCATTGCAGTGAAGGCAAACACAGCTCTCGACAAATAAACAAACTCAGCATTTATAGGGTTTTAACAATCGTACTACAAATATAATTTTTTTACAATCAAACAGCTCTTACATAAATGTAAAACATAATATTACATGTAATTTAACTTAACGCGGTCGGGCGCGGCTCGAGGCTAAGCTTTGAACTCTGAGGATTGTATTGGATGTTGTATGTATGGAGCCTTCCGGAAACTTGGATTATATCGTTTGTCAGCTTAATATCGCCCTGTTGCCTTACTTAACATTGAGTATTTTAATACTGCACTGATTAGAGTCTGTAGTGTGCAGTTTCCTAAGGTAATGTACGGCAGGCGGGTCGCCGACGCCGCGCCCGAAACTTCATGTTTGTCTATTTTCTGTTTGTTCTCTTTTCGCTTACTTCTACATAACGTTATTTAAGTTGCGAAACGCCGACATTAGAGCGAGACATCGGTGTGCGAGGGAGAGAGCGATAGAGGTAAATTCTGTGTGGTCGGATATTATTGTTTTATAGTGGTGTTATAACGAAAAGATGGACGCAAACTTGAAGTTCTTACCGATTTAAATGCTAAATTGATTACAGCCCACGTCAAAAAAGCTAAAATTGAAAAAAAAAATAGAAATAAAGGAAATTATTGAATGTGTTGTGTGATTGATTAGTCCTTTACTTGTGATTTCGGTCACGCGGTTGTCTTACGTATATCATCCCTATATGTGTAACACTTGCCATCTGTTCAAATCCAATCGGTGCAATAGTCCAGTAAAAATATAATTTTCACCAATTCAAAGACTGACAATTAACTGACCATTCGGAATCAATCGCTTCAGCCAAGACTGAAATTTGCATTTGTAGATGAAATAGTATTTCCTTTGGAGTACATCGCTTACTTTGGCCTTTCCTTGCTCTCTTTTTGTTTATTTTGAACAAATGTAATATGTTACACTTAATTCGGGGTCTTAGCGCTGGTACGTAGGGTACTTGTTTCCTCTCGGACATGTGAACTCATTTATCAACAGATTGTCAAAGACGATATGATATACGAAATTAATGTAAGAATGTAAGGTAAGGCCCTATAGGAGAGATATTTTTTTATGCAATTGAAATTCTTTCATCTGTAGATTTAATATTCCTAAGCTGTTTTGTAGAAAAACAGGTAACCTTTTTTTTAGTTTTTTAAAACTTCAAATAATTGTCTTGGTATACAACGCGACTATTCCCTAGACTATAATTTTCAACTAAATATTCGTGCGATATTTACCAACTACCCTCACGTAATTCCTACCAAAGTTGCCAGTACATTGTACAACTTCAAGAAAAAAAGATAAATACGTCTTATTTCTTAAAGTAAAGAAATGTCGCGTTGTTATATCATTTGTCATCACATTGAAAGATTCATTTTGTCTGTACATCTATAATTGCATAATCGTTATTTTGTTGATCTTTTTATACATGCAGCTTGTAATCAGAATTATTTTATAAAATACAACAACCCTAAGGTATCTGTAAAGACATCGGGAGGTGTGAAATAAAATACTTTAGTCAGTAATAAATATTTTTTACTAACGATGTCGTGTCCCTTCCCGATGACGTGTGACGGTAGTCTGACATGTAGAACTTATGCATTAAATGTGAAATATTCGTAACCGTTTAGATGTAATGGCCGTCGGTGCACCTATAATTTATTACGAGTTATGTTTCTCTCGAACGCATGGTCACTAAAAGATAGAAATTTACTGTGACAATACAAAATATGAAATTTCAAGCGAACCATGTGAGCGAGGGAGACTTAATTGTAAATGCGAATTATTATTTAGACTTTAATTAATTTTTTAAGGGGGCGAAAGACCAGGCTTATATCTGTGTGAAGGTAAACTAAAGCTGTGTATATACTCGAGATTCGTTAAAAGTGATCGGTATCTTTAAATTTCTACAGTCCAATAGAACATTACCCGACTAATGATTGTAAACATGCGAAAGTTGACCGAATTTTGATAGAAATGCTGGAATGAATATGGAACTCAGTAATAAGTATTTAACAGTCAAATTAAATCTGTACAAAACAACACCGTGACTTGTGATTTCTTTTTAGTTTATTTTTAGTAGTTAGTTTTTATTTATGGATTTTACACCTGATAAACTACGCATTTATATCATGAAAAATTCTTAAGAGATACTACTTTAGTAGAAATCTACCCAGTTGGAATAAACTTGTACACGGCTCTGGAAACGTAAGTAACTTTTTTAGTAAGACTTATTTATCAGTCTGTATTCTGTACATATCCCCTTTGAGGGATTCAATACTACCAAAAAATTGCCTGCGGGTTGACTTCACATATCTTTAACGTTCAAAATGTGCAGGTCACATCACGTTTTCATAAGAACGTAAGATTGTTCATTTGGAACACGAAAAAATAATTAAATCGAATACATGCTAATTTTATGGAGGTGCAAAACCAGTCAAAGCAGAGGATCTAGATAAAGCAAATGCTTTAAATAAATGTTGGAGGTAACAGCCATTTGGCTAAACATTCTATGTGACAATCAATCTTCAAACGCAATAAATGCAAAAGTTTGAAAGGATGGATGTTTTAGAGTTTGTAGCCTAAACGGCTGAACGTATTTCGATAAAATTTGGTATACAAGTAGAGGACAGTCTGGAGGAACACAGACAGTTGTTTGTTTTTAATTCCACGTTTAAACTATTTCAAATAAGTACAATGAACTTTTATTTAACGTTTTTAATTCCCCATGTAATGTACATATAAACAATACATACATTAAAATATAACCTAAATTCTAATGAAGATTAACATTTGTCAAAAATAAAAACGTTTTGTAAGAAAAACATAACTAAAGATATGAGTATGTTAAATAATGATTCTACTCCGGGCCACTGAGCTCAGATAAAAGAAGACCTGAGTATAAAATATATTTAAAAAAAATACGAGATTATAACAAATACAAAATCTTAAGACGCTCGCATTAAACTGTGCCTTTGCGTCCTCTTTATTTACGCAAAATATTGCATAACTTGATTATCTAAACCGTAAAGATATTTGAAACATACATTAATAACAGACTTATGTTAAAATAATTTTAAGACAGCACCAGACGATCAATTTGTAAGCTCTTTTCAGCTGTGGAGACCAGATCTATTCCTCATCTGAAGTATCAGATATTTCAACAACAAGGAAAGGATCTTCAATATCCTGTACAACAGTTGTGTAACTATCACCCAGTTCTTCAAGCTGTTTGACAATGTCAATACATTCTTGTTTCACTTCAACAATGTTCTGTTCAACTTTGATGTCCTCAGTTTTTATTGTATTTCCAATATCTCGTGTTAATGTGTTTGATTCTCCATTATTTTTATCTCTCCATGTTGAATCTTGCAGTAACGAAAATCTAAAAATAAATTTTACATTCTGTATTATATTAAACAATTGTTCTAATTTAAATTTGAGAAAATCATTTAAAATAGGAAATTAAGTAATTTAATAAATCTGATAGTCTTTTATTCAGTTCTGCTTACAAGTTACTAGGAAATAATTTCAAATATTTAAACAAAAATAAATTTCCTTGTATAGGCTTTGCTTATTTTCTGGGGACCTGTTTAATTAATTTAGTTATGATTATTATAATTAGTAAAAAAATGCTAAATACTGACTTAGATGTTATTCTTTTTAATATGTGTATAAACAAGATTAAATTATAGTTATTCTCAATAGTTAGCTCTGATACAAAAATTATAAACACATTTATCTCAAAAGAAATAACTAGTTCCTGTTATGCTTAGAACTGACTAGATTTATTATATTAAAAGTCAATTTAGGTACCTCTTCATAATTGCAGATTCCTTTATTACAGCCCGTCGTTTATTTTCTTGTAACCGCGCCTCAAGCTCAGGGTTCGTATCTGCAGGGTCTACGAAACATTCTTCTTGTTCCACCATTGTCATAAGATGGTACCATTCTTGCTTTTTCCGCCGCTTTTGAAGCGCGCGACCGCACTGAGTAAATAATGCTGTGGCTAAACAAGTATACATGTCACAAGAAAAATTGCACATTTTTAGATTAACAATTATACTTCTAAAGAAATATCAAGCTACATAGACCAGAGCGCAGAAGAGCAGAAAGCAATTTAAATTGAACTATACACAATTGAAACAAGGTTCAATTTATTCTACATGTCTTTTTGCTTTTGTAATTCACACGAAAATATATGTGAAAAAAAAATTAACTTTGTTGCAATTGTAAAAAGCGTATTTTTATTAACGACAACTTCGTCCAAATCAAATAAAAAAATGTAGCCTGTTACTCACTGATAACATAGCTTTTTAATGGTGAGATATTTAAAATCCACTTAGCAGTTATTTTAATATATACAAAAATACATATGTTTCCTCTTTACAATAATATTGATATAGAGAAAAATCTGCTCTGGTCTATGCACCGTCTGAATGGATCCTTAGACTATGGGGAGCTTTTTTTAATTATGGCTTGTGTGACTGATTCTTCCACCCTAAGTGACTGAACAGGTATAAAAAATATAGCTTTGTTGTTTTGTTAAATTGTGTAAATTACTTTAAATACCTACCTTCCCTCATAACTCTTGCTTTATTCCATGAAAGTCCATCCTGTCTATTAGATTGAAGTACACATTCCACAACATCATTGAAATCAGGAAACAGAGGGCAGCCGTCACTGCCAGTGTTGTTATTTAAAAACTCTTCAAGTCTTCTAACTGGTCCTGGCGGGTGTCCATCTTGTACTTTCAGGGTTAATTTCTTACTCCTAACAAAATCTGTTCCCACAATTTCACACCATTTCTTATATAATTTAACTAAAGTCTTTTGATATCTGTAATAATAAAGAGGGCACACTTAGATAAGGTTATTAGTAATTTTACTAATATCATAAAAATGAAAGTATAGATAGATATTAGAGTTTTTTAGCCTAAATGGCAGAACAGACATAAAAGAAATTTGGCATAGATAATATAATAACTTTTGTTCTTTTTTTATAACATAAGGTGGCAAACGAGCAAGCGGCCACCTGAATCCGCCAAAATGGCGAAGCGACCGCTGCCCATAGACATCCGCAATTGCAGATGCGTTGCCTACCCTTATCCGACAGAGGAGGAGACGCACATAAAGAGGATGTCTCCCCTTCCTATGTATCTCCTCCTCCATTAAATCCACTTCCTCTTCCCATCCTCTCCTTATAAGAAAAGGGTGGTAAACAGAAAGGGACTTAAATTAGGCCTCCACACTCATCAGACGAAACACGGAATTGCATCCATTTCACGCCTGTCTTCTGTGTGGTCGTGGTATTACACCGGGCATGCCGGCCTATTCGTGCTAAGATGTTAAAATGATGGTAGTGCCCACCACTGTATAAATTTTTTAATCTTAGCAGAGGGAGTCGCAAAGCTAGTGGACTTTCAACTCAAAAGCATATTTTAAATGTCATTTTTACATGATGTGTATGTATTTTTTATTACAGAAGAAATGATAATACTTACTTCTCACGTATGATATATGGAGATGTACCATCATCATTCAGAACTTCTCTTTTTCCCAAATGAATAATCTTTTTCCTAAATTTAGCCATCAACCTTTCTAATTTATGAATCTCAAAATCCTGAGAATCATGATTTACATCAGTTCTCGGTATTAAAAGGGGATTTTCTTTACTTAACATTTTTGGATTGAAACCATTCTCATTTACATTCGATGTATTTAAATTTGTAGAATTTGATAACAATGAATTTGTTTGTGGACAATCACTATTTTTTTTACTTTTTATAGCATCAAGACAAACTACATCATCTTCCTCATCTAAAACTACTATAGGTGGTTCATAATTATCTAAATTAATACATGTTTTAATCTTCTTATTATTATTTAAAGCACAGTCAGGTTTTCTCTTTTTGCCCTCTTCAAGTTTGTTTCCTAGAATTACACTAAGTTAAGCAAGGGCGGATCCAGCTTTGGCGCCCAGCGGGGGACACATAGTCGTGGTCAAGTCAAAAGCTTGACAAAATATGTAAATAAGTTTTGTCAAGCTCTTGACCAAACAGCGCTGGTGGGGGGGGGCATGACCCCCTGGATTTGCCGTTGAGGTTAAGACATACATTATTAACTAAGTCAAAAAGCTATGTAAAGTACCTTTTAAATTTGTTGCCAATGTTACAAAATCTCCTCTTTTCTTAGATTTATGTAACTTTAAAATCTCAATGAAGCCTTTTATATGAGAATATGTTTGTTTCGGATTTCTTATTATTAATTTATTAGTGTTATTTACGACTTTATTAAATTTTTCTGATTTACTATAACTTTCATCCATGTTTTTGTATACAGGCAATATTATTTTTTTAAAAATCCTCATCATTTCGTTACATTGTGTTGTATTCAGACATGTTTCATATAACATAGACAATTGTTTATTGTTCAAAAACTCGTTCAAAAAATTCTTTACAACTAAAATAGCAGAAAATTAAAATTCGTATTACTTTTTTCAAATATTTTGGCGGCCCCAGGTTAGCGCGCTGTACACCCTGGTAGGCTCAGCTACACCATAAATGGTATTCAGCTCAGCGACTTAGTAAACTTAAAAGCCGGCATATATGAAAACCATATTAAAAAGTAAAACAGACTTCCCAAAAGTAGGAGGTCATCAATTCGTCTGTATTTTTTTAATAATTTAAACCACTATCCGTTTCTGTTTTATCTATGTTCGTTCAACAAAATATGCTACTAAGTTAACTTACCTGTGAGTCGTCTATTAAATCAATAACATTGCTCATTTTAATATAAAAAATGTAATAAATATCGTAATATTATTATAAAAGGCACACAAACACAAACTTTAAATAATCGTTGACAATTGATTGAAAATGACAAATAATACTTCAGTTAAAACCAAAGAGTAATAATCAAACCGTAAACAAATGCAGTGTTGCTATAGTTTATCTAAATAAGATAGATTAGTTTGATAAATGACGCATATGAAGTATCCAATTCAATTTGTATGAAGGTAAATGCCATACGTAATAAACAGGTATCGTGTAACAAACACGCATTAGCGAACAATTTTAAAGTATCGATATTCGGTTTAAATAATTATCGAACTCAACTAAAATTATTATTTTCTTATTAACTAATTTATAGGACAATTCTAGTGTTAATTCATTTTAAGAGAATTTAGCGATGACATAAATAATAGCGAAATCCAATTCGATTACATACGGCTGTAGTAGTAATAAACATTCTTTTACTCTCATTATATGTCATGGTCATTATTAATTTGAGAAAACAGTGTTTTTTTTTTAATTTATGTGTTATAACTATAAATCTATCGATCCCAACTTCTATAATAAAAATCGAAAATCGATGATTCATGACAGATTATACACAACCATCCCTACTAAATTTAAAATGAATTGTCAATCTAATCTAAATTATTTAGATACACTATAGCTTTTGAAACTTACATTTGAAATCGTGGCAAACAAACATTCTTAATCGACTACAAAAACTTTTAACGATATAACTAAATTTGTCAATAAATGGCATGGTACATTGAAATAAAAACCCAAATTCAGATAAATAAATCTTTTATTTAGAGAGGCCAATTTAATGCTAGTATAAACGGAGTTAAATACAATCCATTCTATTGTTAGCAGTAAACACTTCGTTACAATTAAAACTGGCAAATTAAAACAGTTATTATAATAAGTTTCAGCGATCATCGTTATACTGAATCTCTTATTAGGTATACCTTAATTACAAATACAGTATTCTTTAATTTACAATAGAAAAAAATACTAAGCGATAAAATGCAATTGCAAAAATGAGATGGAAAATATCAAAGATAAATAAAACTGTTATTTATTATAGATAATAAAATGAAGTACAGATACACAATCATGCTTACATCACAAAATAAAAAAAAATAATTTCGAATAATACAGAACATTAATTAAAAACATCGCTTATGATGCATTAAAAACACAAAAAAAATGTCTTTTCTTATCTTTAATAATTTTTTAATATTTTCTCACATTCTGTACCGTGGATACTTTGGCGTCTCAAATATTTTTATCGTTGCTAATACTCATCTAATATCTCCATCTCATCTGGAAAGATATTAAATTATTTAAAAAAAAAAATCCGAAAGGCTGCATTAGCTCCGGTGATCTGGAAATGGCTGGATCGATTTTGACGGGAAGCAATGCACGATGGGGTTATTTTTTAAATCACGCGCTGTCAAATCGCAGGCGACCTTTATATAGTATAAATAAAAGTATATATTTATCTATATTTTTATAAAAGTATCTATTTATCTATATTTATACTGATATAATAAAGTGTAAACACACTCTACTTAGTTATGTAGGATGTCAGCAATCACACTAATATAGTGTTGAATAATTCCTTTTTGAACAAAAAACTATACACTTTCGTCACGCTTTAGGCTATACAATTTCACGCGATTAAACTTATGGAGTAGATAATTTGGAAAAAACTGTAATGCAGGAAAGGGAAAAAACAAGTTAAAATCAAAGAAGCGACGTTGCCATTGTAATGGTAGTATGGTATGGTCTTCATTCTCAGTTGTACATTTGAATTTTGACATTTGCTATTGAAAATTGTACAAATGTAACAATAAATTCAAAAGTTCTTGCATCATTAAAATGCTAGTTTTTACATTTCACGCAGACGAAGTCACGAGCAAGAGCTGGTATTAAAGTAAAATAGATTGTAGGAGAGGTTGAAACTTCAGATATTTAAGGCGCACGAGAGCTAGTAAATACATAGTTACTGTTAAGAAAATTAATACCGTGTTGTAGAATTGGCGCAACACTAGATTATCGGTATAAAAGTCACGTCCCTAGCTGACAGTTGTCAATGTCATTAGGAGGATTGAGGTTTCGCGCGCATTGCTGGCGAGATCTCTAGTGGAGTGTTTAAATCATTATCGCTAGTTACAATTATATTAATTGTTTAAAATTACCTATGTGCAATGTGAGTTCAGTCGGCGCGCACCACGTTGCGCCGCTGCAGCGCGAGGGCGAGGTCGTGCTGCAGAGCAGCTGTCTTGCGCGCCACGTCCGCTGGCACCACCGACCTCAGACCATTCACTATGTCTTTCGTCTTACCTAGAAATTGAATTTTAATTAAATTTACTTAAATACCTATCCTTCCATCTATACTTCTATACTAATATAATAAAACGTAAACACACTCTACTTTGTGGCGTGAGATGTCAGCAATCATAGCATATTTTTGAATAATACTTTCTTTAATAAAATTCCCTACACTTATAACATGCTTTAGCCTATATGTTTTTACGCTATTAAACTTAGGGGGGTAGATAAATTGAAAAAAAAACTTCATGTGGGAAAGGGAACATAAACTACAGGCTGCCAACATTAAGAAAGCAAGGTTAATATGACAACGGTAATTTTGACATTTGTGATTGAGAATTTGAGAATCCTAAAATTAAAAAAAATAATAAAAAGTGTAACCTATGTCACTCGCTGATAACATAGCTTTTAAATGGAGAATTAATTTTTGCAATCAGCCTTGTAGTTTCTAGTTATTTCAATACATACAAAAATACAAATCTTTCCTCTTTATGATTAGATAGATTATTACGCTATTATTATTCGACACATAATATATAGTTGTTATATTATCCGGTAATAATAACGAAGGTATGGCTCATGCCAAGGCTCCTGAGGGAGCCCTCGAGCTTAGTTACTCATAAACAAGGTTTAGGCTAAGAGCCACCTGTTTTCGGCCACCTCAAGCTTAGTGAATCTGTAAATGCCTCTTCAAGGCAAACAGTGGCCATTCAGTAACAAAAAAAAAAAAGAACATACCAAAATAAATATCATTGAGTGTATTCCGGATCTTATTTTCCATGTCTTCAACCATGCGGCCGATGTTGGCAATGTGCGGGGTGACATCACTCACTGCAGAGTCTTGTTCAGCCTGCAACAAATAACTAAATGACCAAATGTAACACTTCACACCCACATTCAGATAGGGTAGGTAGATTTTACATATCTCTACTGGACCTGGCTTATCTGTCTCACATAATATTGTAATAAAGTTATCTTATTAATATTTGAAATGTAAAAGTTTATATGGATGGATAATTGTTTGTCGGGAGCAGAACTCAATGGACATTACTAAAATTTGACATAGGTTAAGATAATAATAATCTGGAAGAACACATAGGCTTATTAAGATTTTATGCAATTCTCTTAAAATAACTTTATAAATACTTAACAAGTATTCTAGAGATGTACTAAATCTTATTTTATAAATTTGTTTTTTTTTCCCTGTTAGTAAAGCAAATGATGGCAATATTAAACAGAAATGGTAAATAAACTTAATAAAACTTTCGTGAGACACTATCTATACTATTATAATAAAGCGTAAACACACACTTCTTTGTTGCCTAAGATGTCAGCAATTTCAGCATATTTTTCAATAGTTCTTTTTTTAATAAAAAGCCATACACTTGCGTCACACTTTAGACTATATATTTTAACACCATTAAACTTATATATTTTGGAGAAAAACCCTAATGTGGGAAAGAGACCATGAGTTGCCAACATCAAGGAAGCAAGGTTGTCATCATGTCATGTCATTTTGACATTAGCTATTGATAATTGGACAAATGTAAACAATAAATAAAATTGTATGCGGATGAAGCCGCATGGGAACAGCTAGTACTACATAATTTAGAACATGGCTAATGAAGTGGTGGTGTTATTGTTTGAAACTGTTGGTGCTTACACCGAATGTTGTCACGTGAGTTTAGCCGTGTTATAATTTATATAAAAAATAGTAAAATTGTAGGTTACATTCTTAGGGGCTTTTTACCTGTCTAGTTAAGCTTCCTCCTAAATTCATAGTGCCACTGCCTTCCTTATTCGTCTGAAGCCACAACATAGCGGTTGAGGTCAGCTTGTAGTGGGCATTCCTGCCTGAACTCTTCTCCACAACTTCCACAACATGGATTGAGTCCCAGCAACCTTTTATCTTTTGGGAACCATCACCAGCTTTCTTTATAAGTATCACACCTAAAATTATCCAATTAAATGCATGTACATAAAAATTAATATATTAAAGGGATACAGGATTCTTAACGTTGATTGAATCATGATGGAGTTTTAATAAGTTTTATGCCATCTATATTTTAATCTATACTATTAAAGCATAAACACTCACTTCTTTGTTGCCTAAGATGTTAGCAATCACAGCATATTTTTGAATAATTCTTTTTTTAATAAAAAGCCACTACACTACACTTACATCACTCTTTAGGCTACATATTTTCACGCCATTAAACTTAGGGGGTAAATATTTTGGATAAAAACCTTAATGTGGGAAAGAGACCATAAGTTGCTGCCAACATCAAGGAAGTAAGAATGCCAAGGTTTGTCATGTCAAGTCATTTTGACATTTGCTTTTGATAATTTGACTAATGTAAACAATAAAATAAAATTTTCACAATTTCATGCAGATGAAGCTGCATGGGAACAACTAGTTTTTAATATATCTCTTTGCATATTGATATCATTTCAACATAGATTGAGACATTAATAAGCATTTTACACCTGGGGCCTTCCAGCTACATTCCTACAGCTAAATTTGTCATATTGACATTGAGAAATAAAAATAGATGTCATATATTAATTAATAATGTTATAAATGTGAAAGTTTAGATGTTTGATACTACAGATTTCCAGACGGGTCAACAGATGGTACTTAAATTTGACATAGATGTAAAACATACAGTCAAAGATCACATAGGCATATTTGTACATATATAATACCTGCCACATACAAATTAATGAGTTCTATACCTGCAAAACCATGATCCATGTCCCATAAATAAACAGAGCTTACTCCTCCTTCAAAATACATCTCACGGTATTGATCAAATGCATGATTGGCATCAATTTCCAGTTTCCTCAACCGTTCTGAAGGCATTGAACCATCTTCAAGTGGTGGGTCATATGTGTTAGACCATGGTGAACGGTACGAGTCTCCATCGCGGTTGTAATCGCAGAGAAGATAATCTTTCCCGTTGCTTCGATCTTGAGCTATTTTCAACGGTTGGTCTACTGACGACAACAAATCTTCGCAAAGACTTGGGACTAGGTCAATTAAATCAGTTAGATTTTTCTCAATTTGCTGGGGTGGCAGCCGGCGCATTAAGTCTAACGCACAATCCATCTGTTGTTCTGTCTGAAATAAATATGGGACATAGAATTATATCAAAAACCCCATCGGTAACATCGAGTATTAGTCATCCAAAACATATAAATATCAATCATAAACTATACATGAATCGTATCTCGAGGATAGAAAAAAATGCTTTTACCATGATTAATTTAAATGTTACAGAAATTGACAACTAAAGATCAGATGTTATTTTTAATCACAGAAAAAACTTAATTTGTAAATCAAAAAGCCTTCTTCCAACTATGGATGGCAGCTAATTTTGACATAAGTAAATGCGTTCTAAAACTATAACTGTTCTGTCAACTATATCTTTACTCTTTTTTACGCCTAAAGGATTATTGTTAACCGTCTACAAATAAGATGCAAAAATATCAAACATGATTTTACCAAAATCATATATAACATAACACAAATGACCTACTTTTTTGGAGAATCCAAAAACTATGGATTTTTTGTATTTCTAAACGTTTTACTGTTGACGTCAAAACTTATCTTTTCTCCACATGAACAATTTATGAGTTTGTCCCACTTACTCTTAAAGTTATAAGCAGATGTTAGAGAGAGTCCAAGTATTTAACTGTGTTCACTTTAAAGTTTACCATTCATTCCTTTTTCGCCGCTTTTAAACTCCCGGAATGTGAATCTGACAGTTTGTCAACTCAATGTTGTTGTGTCAAAATTTTGTTGATAATCCTTTTTTTAAATTAGGTACAGTATAATTATTAACTTTACGACTTGATTAATGAAATTTTTTAGTTACTGATACACTCAGATAATGTTACTCTTCTCTAATCTTATTTGTTTAAGGCAGGTGTGTCTTTGAAAATGATTCATGTAATGAGAATGTAAACCATGTTATTGCACCTTTGTCTATAATATATCCGCCAAAAAGGCGTAGAGGCATTAAACTTTGTTAGTGACGGTTATGAATTAATTAATGGGTGCTTAATTTTTAGAGCGAAGCGCCTTAGAAGGTTATAATTGTGTACTTGAACTTTAGGCTTTTAGACAAACGTAATAGTTATGGGCAAGATATTTACTTTGATTTCTGATTATTTTCAGAATAACTTTTGTGATAAAGTGCCAATCTTTTGAACTTGTGTTAACACAACTGATATGATGCCAACTCAACTGGTACAAGACAACCACGCGAATGACGTGCGTGTAAAGACCGTGTACAGTGGAGATGTAATGATAACATACATCAAACATAACATAACTCTCGAGGAGTTCACTCAGGAGATGATAGCAATATGTAGATTCTTACCTGATCAGGTTAGTAAAAGAGTTTACAATCTTGCCTCTTACTAATATTATAAATGCGTAAGTTTAGATGGATGGATGTTTGTTAGAGATTGTAGCCTATACCACTGAATGGATCTCTATTAAGTTATAGTTGTACAGGAAGTCTGGAAGAATACATTGGCTATTTGCCTTTGTTGTTTTTTTAATTTTATGCCGATGGAGTCACTGGTGAAAGCTAGTCTAAAATGAAGCAAGCATATTGCCTATATTTTGACCTTTGAAATATTTCAACATCTTCTTTGATCATTTTCAGGTGTTTACGATGAAGTGGGTAGATGAAGAAGGAGATCCATGCACGATATCAACACAGCTTGAGTTAGATGAGGCGTTACGGCTGTATGAACTGAATCGGGACTCGGAGCTAACTGTTCATGGTAAGTACATTATGTTTTGTAACTAGAGATGTATTTAATTTAATACAAAAGTCTAGAATGTTGGTATTATGCATTTGTAATTAAGATAACCCTAGTGGTGTATTAAATAGTGATAATCCTAATGTTAAAGTAATATAAGGTTTTTTTTACGTAGTCTTGGTCCTGACAGTTATACTATTCAGTTAAAACAATGCACATGTATGTAAAACTCTAACAGCCTTACAAATAAATGTGGCATAATGTTAAACTTAAGAATAAACTGAATACAAGTAAAATTTGTACTAATATTTACTTATACTCAGTTTATTCCTAAGTTTAACCTTATACCATGTTTATTTGTAAAGCAGTTCAAATGACAAAATTAAAAGCCTGTAATAAGCATATTGGGTTACTGTAACAAAACTATAAAGCTTGGATGAACATTATATAATTGTTTTATAAACATTATAATACTAGCTGTTGCACGCGACTTTGCTCCTTTGGAATTAAAGAAACAATAAATATAGCCTAAATTACTCACAGATAAATTTCATCTGTAATGGTGAAAGTTTTTTTTATATTGACCCAGTAGTTTTTACATTTATTGAATACATACAAAAATACAAATCCTTCCTCCTTATAATATTAGTATAGATAAAATAGTACAAATCTGTTATAAAAATTCAGTTGTCACTGTCTCTGATATTGTTATTTTATTTCTTATAGTTTTAATGCAGTGTTAAATCTTGTATGTAATGTTATGAAATACCTGAGATTAGAGGAAAAAGGAAATAATAGCAATGATCCAACCAAATGTGTTTGTCATAGTATTCATATGTTTATCGCGTTTCGTATGGAAGTGCCTATTCCCGTGTACCGTCGGGCGGTTGCAGATTTACGCTATAAAATTCCTTATCTCGCCGCAATGCGAGTACCGCTTTACTATTACCATATTCAGATTGTGCTGTTGGCCGCTTTTTCCACACATTTCGCTCATTTGTACATGCCAGACAGGTTGAGTGAAATAATTAGCGTTTAAATTTTTGCAGTTTTTTGTATGAATAATTTAAGTTGTTTAATATACTAGCTGTTGCTCTTGATTTCGTTCACTTGATATAGCATACATATGAGTAACATTACTCAACGATAACGTAGCTTTGTAGCGTAAGAATTTTTGAAATCATCTCAATAGTTTTTGAGTTATTTCAATACATACACAAATACAAATCTTTCCTCTTTACTATCTAAAAGGAATTATATACATGTACTACTAATTATAAATATTATAAAGAGGAAATATTTTTTTTGTATGTATTAGATTCCAAAACTACTGCGTCGATTTCAAAAATTCTTTTACCATTAAAAAGTTACGATATTAGTTACATAAGCTTTTTTAAAAAAACGAACGAGGTCTCGAGCAACATCTAGTAATAGTATAGAAATGAAACCGTACACAAACTTTAAAGCAAATGGGGAAAACTTTGACCAATAATTGACAAATATTTGGACGTTGCGCACAATGTGCGCCAAGTTCGTATTGGTACGCTTTTTGATACCTTGGTGTAATTAGAGTCTTTTTAATTAACTTTCCCTTTGTACGTCGTTCATTTAATACTTATTTGAATGCCTTTGTTTGGCGATTTCAATTGATATTCGTCTGTTCATTGCTAATTAATGTAGATTGTTCTCGTTGCAAGTGAAAAGTTACGCTGTGCTGAAAATGTTGGTGTCGTATTATTTACTAGCTTTCGCTCGCGACTCCTTCCGCGTGAAATAATAAAATAAAACGAAACTAAGTAGCATGTGTTCTTTCAAACTATGCTCTACATCAATGCCAAATATCATACAGATACGTTCAGTCGTTTAGACTGCAAACTTTAACAAACATCCATATAAAATTTCGCATTTATGATATTAGTAAGATTGACTGTGTCTGTTTAAATTTGATATATGACCGGTTTTCCAGCTCCTTTTAACCATTCGTTAGTGTTATGATTCGATTACTTCATAAAATGCGTTTCCGAACTACGTAACTTGAGTTTTATTCCGTTATACTTAATTCACTAATCAATCACTAGGTAATGGTAAAATAAATAGAAACATCAACAACCTAATATTAGTGCTTCAATAATGCTTTATTTTAAATATTGTTTGACACTAATGGTTTGTTTTTAACTTGGTACCGACAGCGCGGCAGCCAAAAGTACAAAAACTTTTCTATTAAGCAAAACAACCTAGTGGCCAGTATGCAAGCTCTTTGGCTCTCGTTAGCCAAAGAGGTTGCATTATGCGCTGAACAGTTTGAACAAAATATTTATGTATGAACAGTAAACTGTAGAGAACAAAGGTTATGATATGAGTTGGATAGTTTGGGTTGTAAATTCTTGGAAGATTTATTGAGGTAAACGTTAAAGTTGGGCCACATTCGCTGTTGGTAAATAAAACGGAAGCACCGCAAAGTTCAGTGCAAACGGTTCGTGGGTGCTCTAACAAGGTACAAACATTGGCGCCCAACGTGGGGCAAGTTTGTTCGGGTCTCGTTTGTCGCTGTAATTACCGGCGATTTAATTAACTTTGATGGTGTTATGGAAGTCGATTTCGAATGCTGTTTTGCTAATTGAACAGCGGTGTACGGGTTTTGTCCGTGCATTTGTGAACTGGTTCGTTTAAATTAAATTTTCTTTATGAAGCATTGCAAATATTTGTAGCAGATTTCTAATTAAACGAAGAAATAAATATCTATGTACTGTTGCGGTAATCCGCGGTGTTCCAGTTCAGGGAAAAATTGCCTTGTTTATTGCAACGAGACAAACTCCGCCTAAACAAGTAACTAATTAGTTAGCAGTGAATGCAAAAGAAGGCATGTTAATAAGGTTTTTGTGTCACGTCTTGATTCAAAATGTTCAAACGATTGTAGCTTTTAAGGTGGAACACTAACAGATTCCCCCACTGTACATACGCTACAAATGGATTTTGGAGCTAATGATATGATATAATTGCCAATTTCGCTTGTGCAATACCTATCAAGGTTGCATTGTAAACTTGTTTTGGTAAATTAATGTGCCGTGATGCGATTCGCTGCCATCCGCATACACAACTCTCAACTACCCGCATAACAAATTCATAGATTCATTGCCCCAGCGTAGCCGGCTTCTAAATTTATCAGACCAGCGGATGAGCTTTGCAAATCTGTCTGGAAACCGAAGTTATTTTAGTGGTAATAGAGAGGCTTTAAATATTTTAGTATACAAGTCAATGATATCTATACTTCGATACTAATATTATACGAGTAAAGAGGAAAAAATTATATTTTTGTAATTTTTTATGTATTGAAATAACTTAATTAATTTAACTTAACTTAAAAGCTACTGGGCCGATTAATTAAAACTTTTTCACCGTTAAAAAGGTAATTTATTTGTGAGTAACATAGACTATTTTTTTTTAATACCACACGGATGTAGGGGCAAGCAATAGGTATTTTTATATATTTTACATATCACATTTGTAATTAAATAGATGCAGAGAAAGCGATGGAGGTATGCTAATATTCTGTTTAATAAGATTATCTAACTCTGACTATCCCTTTTAAGTTT